CGAGTCCTCCCCGCTGCCCCGCGGGACAGGCCCGCGCGCGGAGACCCGGGAGCGCACACACGTGTCGGCGGCGGGCGCCCGCGTCCACCTGCAGCGCCGCCCGGCCCGGCCCCAGCCAGGGTGCAGCCTCGTGTGGGGTTTATACGCACATGTCTATTATACGCATGGGTATACGCATATATGTGTGTATGTAAATATACATATATGTGTGTGTATATATATGCACGTATATATGTGCGTATGTGCATGTGTGTGTGTATATGTATCACATATACACGTGTGTCTCTATCTATATTTTGCGTGTGTATATATGGGCGTGTGTATATGTGCGTGTATAGCTATATGTGTGTGTATGTATATTTTTATATATGCATGTTTATATATGTTTGTGTGTGCGTATATATGTGTGTGTGCATAAATATATGTGTGTGTGCATGTGCATGTATATCTGTATGTGTGTGTATATATATCTGCGTGTATATCGATATATATCTGCGTGTATATCTATATATCTGTATATGTGTGTATATATGTATGTATGTACACCTACATATCTGCATATATGTATATGCGTGTAGATGTATGAATGTATGTGTACACACATACACACACATTTTTGCACATACACTCAGTGCGTCTCTGCGTGGGTATATACGCATCTATATGTGTTCAAATGCAGACGGACAGACCGCGAGCGCGCACCGTCCTCCCGTGCTATGACGGATCTCCTCCCGCTCCAACATTTCGATCTCTTCCTCTTCTCCAATTATTTTTTTCCCCAACGAAAAAACCGCAACAAAGGGTCGTAAGCTCCGGGCAGGATGAGTGCGATTGTTTGGAGAGAAAAAAAAGAATTTTTGAACGTGTGACTCCCAACTTCTCTCTCTCCATTTTAAACTGCAGAGAAAACATCGTACTTAAAAATCACACGAGGAATGGGGTGGGTTTTTTTTCATGTCTAGAGGAGCGGTCCGCCCCGCTTTCATGTCACTGTTCGCACAAGCCAGAAAACGATCCCTCCCTTTTCACCAGATCCGCTCCTCGGGTTTGCTGATTTAGGATTTGCCCCCTCACACCCCGAGGCGAAGGGGCTTGGTCTTATGTGTACACCCCTCGCTTCAGTCCTCGCAAAAAGGGACAAATGCAGATCGCAGCCGGCGTGGGGGGCATAGCCCCTAAGTAGGAAAATAACAGCCTGTGTGTGCGCGTGTGTGTGTGAGCGTGTGTGCCAGAATGATACACAAAATTAAAAACCCCTAGCCCCTAAAAGGAAAGTAAGAGCTTGTGTGCAGGTGTGCGCCAGACCGATACAAAAATAAATAGGAGAAGCTAATTACTGGGCGGTTTTGGGGGGGGGGTCGGGTCAGACACGCCGGGCTAGACCGGGACAGTGAAGCTGAGACTATTTTGAAGGAATCAGATATTCCTCCCGCCCCGTTTCAGGGCCAGCTCCGTGAACCCGGCCGAGGATCGTGCCCGAGTGAACCCGGGCCCGACTCCCGGTGCAGGCACCCCGGCTCCTCGCCGCTGCGGGCACACGGGTTTTCCCCGGGGAAAGTCTCCTGCAAATCCCGCGATCGCGCCCCCGGGATCCATGCAGCAGCCCTCCCGCAAGCCCCGCGCCGCGGGCACCTGCAGGCGGGCCGGCTGGGGAGTGGGGCTCTTGGAGCAACTCCTGCCCTGTGTTTGCTCGCTCGCAGGGAGAGCGGTGAACCCCAAGTCGGTGTGCGAGGGCTGCCAGAGGGTCATCTCGGACCGGTTCCTGCTGAGGCTCAATGACAGCCTGTGGCACGAGCAATGCGTGCAGTGCGCCTCGTGCAAGGAGCCGCTGGAGACCACCTGCTTCTACCGGGACAAGAAACTCTACTGCAAGCTCGACTACGAGAAGTAAGTGCATGGCCCCGGGCGGGGCCGGGCCGGGCCGGGCACACAAACAGCCCGTCCCTACCCGCCTTCGCCATCCCCCCGTGCGCGAGCGTGTCTGACTGCGATGGGAAATGCACCCCGCCCCCCGTGGTATTCATCCGCGGGGTTTCTTCGGCATGCCCCTCAGCCTGAGCGGGAGCGGGAGCGGGAGCGTGCCGCGGCGATGCGGGGCCGCGCGGGGACTGGGAAGTCGCCCGCAAGCCCCAGCCCCCGGGGCCGCCGGCGCACACCAGCCCGAGCCCGCTCCCCGCCGCGGGCTGCAGCGGCTTAGCCTTGGTTTGCTGCCTTGTCTTCTCCCCTAGAAACAACTCCCGTAATCTGGTCTGTGGCACCGGGTTTGGGACATCTCGGTGTAGCTGTTTCTACTCAGTTAAGAACATCGTTGAAATGTCTGTCTCGTTACTTGCGAGGCTGCTGTAGGCTTTTTGCCTTTCCTATTTCTCTGCTTTACGAAGGTTTTAGACAATGGGCCAATCTGGTTGAAGTCTCCTTTGGGAGTCGATGGCATGTAGAGTTCCTCAATCACTTTATAAAAGGCTCCAAGGAGACTTCGATGCTTTAAAAGTGTGACTATTTGGTCTTCCAGCCATACGGTCTTTACTGGACTCTTCATTGGATTCATTCATTTTTTTTTAGCAGCATAAAGAACTCTGTGCCTATCACATTTCTGAGGGGGAGGCTACTATACCGAAGTAGCTGGACAAAATAATATCTCCTGTTTTATTTGGTGAGGGGGGAGTGCAAAAGATCCCACCTCACCTCCTTAAGTGATTTCAGGAAATGGGGATTCCTGCATTCTCATTTACAGACTGAGTTTCTATCTATCGAGCTTATGCTGCCTACCTTGTAGCAGCTCAGGTCCCGGTCTTCATCCTCTCCGCACCCTGTAAGGCAGGGCAGTGTTGCTATCCCCATTGTACAGATGGGGAACCGAGGCAGGAGAAATTCATGGTGAAATCCTGGCAAACTCCCACTGAATTCAATGGGGTCATCATATTGCTCTAAGTGACTTGGCCAAGGTCACACAGGATGTCTGTAGTGGAGCAGGAAATTGAACCCAGGTGTCCTGACTCCTAGGCTTACAGCCTAACCACTTCCTCTCTGTAGGGCTTGAAATGTGAGGAAGCTGTGGGGAGAGAGGGGTAGGAGAGATTCCTTCTTGTTAAAACAGGCTATAGGGACTTGGTCCTGAGGTCTTTAACCAGGCACAACTTTAGATTGGGTAAGGACTCCAGGATGTGGCCTTTAGTATGTAGGAGGAGAGGAAAGGGAATGTCTCTTCTTATATTTCCATTCAAATCCTTGTGGAGATCAAGACCAAGCCCTTGTATAGGCAGGTGGGGGGAGCTGGTTGTAGTTGTGAGTGGTCTAAGAGTACAAGGATCCTTCTCCCCTTCTCACAGGCTGAATCAGGGGATGGGCACAGTCATAAAACACGAACTGCTCCTGTCCTTTCCCAGGTGTGCATGGCCTCACCCTTTACTCCAAACTGTATCACTGTGATGCAGGGCAGTGGCTCACATTTCACAGAGAAGTAACGCTCAGAGGGACATTAAAAGATCACCTAGTTCAGATAGGATTGAACCTGTGACCTTGGTGTTCACATGCTAGGGGGGATTCTTGTCCCCTGCCACATTTCCCCCAATCTGGGGACAGCTTCTTACTATGGACAGTCACTACCTAAACAGCACAATTAAATCCACCAGAGTCTGACCTATAGCCTAGTGAAGTCAATGGAAAGACTCCTACCAGTTTCAAAGGGCTTTGGCTCAGGCCCTTAGTGATCAACAAAAATAGGATCTAGTCCAGCTCTTCCACTGGATCTAGCTATGCCCTTTAGGTTTTTATTCTAGTTCTGATTACATTAGGCTTTGAAGTTTATTTTAGTGTGTGTGTTTGACCCACACATGAGTACGGTGATTTTGTTAACAGGGCATTCATCATTCCAGCTTTTGTGTAGAAGAATAATACAAGTATTTGATACATATATTAATCAAGAAAATTGGATCCTATGGCCCCTGCTACACATTACAGATACTATGCAAGTAATTGATTAGTTGCACAATAAACTAAGACTGGCCATAAGTGCAAAGTACTTATCACACAGTTAACTAATTAATCCTTCAATAAATTTAGACCAGCCACACATGCAAAATAATTAACACACAATAAAGTTATAAAAGTTAGTGCTTAAAAATGTGTAACAACTCCTATAGCTGGTTTCTAGCCAGCTTTAATTTGAACGTATAACAGGGTTCTAACTTATTGGCAAATGGAATATTTTGGTAAAGTTATTTTTTTCTGTCCCTTAAGGTAATAAGCATATGAAAAAGATGAGTGTATTATAGTAAGGTGGCTTTTTTAATCTTTTAAATTCTATATGATGGATTATTAGTTTAAACGCATCAGATAAAAGCAAAGTTTAAAGCAGAGTTTGTGTGAGTTAAAGCTTGGCATTGTTTTCAAATGCTCAAGATACAATGGAGGAATGCTAGGACCTGAAACGGAGTCCAAAACTTCATGGAAAAATGGAAAATAACTTTTTATTCATGAATTTGTGTGTGCAATGTGCTAATTCATTGGTGAGAACATAGCTACTGTTTTTAGTATCGAGATCAAAAGAAATGTGGTGTGTGTCTTCTTTTTTAGCAGATTATGCATTCAGAACACTTTTGTTGTTATAACTAAGGAAACATATTAGATGTCACAATAGAACAACCTTTCTGTGTTGTAATATTCTTGGTTCTAGAGGTTGTGCTATATGTGTGTGTGTGTGTGTGTGTGTGTGTGTGTGTGTGTGTGTGTGTGTGTGTGTGTGTGTGTGTGTGTGTGTGTGTGTGTGTGTGTGTGTGTGTGTGTGTGTGTGTATACACACACACACACACACACACACACATACACTTCCATAGTATCTGAATATTTAGAAAGAAATAAGGCCCAATCCCGCACCCTTTGTTTTATCTGTATATTAGCCAGTGAGCCAGATCCTCAGCTGGGGCCAATTGGTTAAGGTCTATTGAAGTGGACAGAGCAATGCTGACTTACACCAGTGGAAGATCTAACTAACTGGGTCTATCTGTATGAGGAAGAGCTACCTGCAAAAATAGCAAGTAAAATCTCAATTATATGCCCAAGTAATGCAGTTTCCTGTGAACATACTTGCCTATTCCCATTATAAAATAGCTTTACTTTTCTTTTTTATTAAAAATAAAAATGTGGAGAATATGAAATAGTTTTTACAGTTGTATTAAGGGCTTAGTCCTATATCACTTAACTTCATGGGAGTTTTACCATTGCATTAAGAGCCAGATCAGACCCTAACAGAAAAGTCCAGAGAAAACAGTGACATGCATAAGGTTTTTGCAACCTGATCACATATTCATGTGAGAGTATAGGCTATGTGGGGGGAAAACCTCCAGGGTCTCTTTCCCTTTTTGGCTGGTGTAGTACACTTGTATGCATTTAATATCATGACAGGAGTTGTTTTACAAATCTACTAATCCTCTTCTCTTCTCATTCTGTTTATGGTTTGTTTCTTCATGTGCCAAAAATAGGGGTAGTTGCTTAAAAGTTATGTATTCATAGAAACACAGAGATTTGTGCAAATCCACCAAGTATAATGGTATATGGTCTTGGTATTATTAGTATGAAATTAACACTGAGAGCACACCTAATGTTGGGAAAGGCTTATATTAAACTAAGATAAAACTTTGTAATGATCAGTTGTTATTATAGGTGGGTTATATTTTAGATCTGGCTTACATTTCAAATATAAGCACATCAATGTAACACCTCAAATCCCACCCATGGGTACTTGCAACAGAATTTATGCACATAAAAAAATGTTTCTCAGCCTAAACCTGCTCCCATAGAAATCAATGGCAAAACTCTCATTCATTTCAGTGTTAGAGTCAAATCCTCCCCCACTGAAGTCAGTGGGAATTTGCCATTGACTTCAAGTGGTCCAGGATTTCACTGTCTTTCTAAAGGTTTTGTTATTCAGATGAATGATTTCTATCCAGAGTGGCCCTAAAAGGCATTTTACATATCACTAATAGCTATAGTTTTACCCTTGCTGCTTGTATCAGTAGCGTTCTCATACCACTCTGTACTTGCTGTAGATTAAAGCTCTGTTTTTAAAAAGCCTGTTAAAGATTAATAAATGAGCACTTGGTGAGAGAGTGCATTTAGTCATGTTGCAGGTGATTATAAGCAACCATGTAACTTATTGGATGCTATAAGAGTTGACTAATCATTGATTAAGACCCCTCATAATTATTTACTAATCTTTTATAAAGCATTTTTATATATTAAAAGAAATATTACTATAAGGAACAAAGGGAAATATATTTACGATGACAACTGGTGACACTATGTAACAGCAAATGCTTGTATAAGCCTGGAAATTGCCAGCCAACTAAAAGTGCCATGCACTGAGTATCTTCATATAGGAATCTGAGTGAATTTGGATATACCCAGAGCGGGCCTCATTGTAGTAAGCACTGTATAAATACAGAGCAAGGATAGTAGCTGCCCCTGAAGTGTTTACTGTCTAAATAGGCAAGACAGACACCGGGTATAGGAAATGGTATAGTGAATAAGCAGAGGGGACAATATGATGGTAGCAAACACTATATTAGCTCACTGATTATTTATTTTTAAGTGGGTTTAGTTAGGAGGGGACAGACTAGGAATGAATCCTCTTCCCTACACCCTGGATGTCCAGAAGCTATTTTTTGGCTGAGACTGCAGCCCTAGCACCCTGCAGTGTGGAGGGATAGGAAAACGTGGGTTTCCCTCACTCTCTTCAAAGCCTCCTGTGCTGACCAAAGCAGGGCTTCTTGGTACACAAGGGCTTCTGTGAAGCTGCTTTGCCTCCTGTACCCCGGAACAGCCCCTGGGCGGGGCCAAGTGTTTCTTTCCAAATTGGAGTAAATTTCACCCCTGAGAATGCTGTAGTC